TTCGACAACTTTTTTTTTACACAAATGACTATAGTGGAACTGCAATTTAAAGAGAATGCAAGAAACAATAAATAGGAAGTAAATAGCTATGCTATTAATATAGTTAATAGCAGGAAAAGTCAATTTTTCTGATTGTTAAACTTTTCAAAAAAAAACAGATTTTAAAAACTGGTATTTTAAAAGTAAAACAGTAACTTTTGCTTAAAAAAGTAAAACCCTAATAAATAATTATACTATTTTACATAACGAGATTTATAAAAAAATATAGATAAACTTACGCCCAAAATTTTTCGCTTGTTTTCTGTTTCAAAACTTTTAATTGTGTATGTTCTTTTTTTGTTCATCTTGCTCTATTATTAGTATTTTTTCATGTTGTGTTCTATAGTTAGTTTGACAGTGTTATTGTTTGTTTCTATTTTTTATGTTACAAACAAAATAACGTTTATTTATATCTTAATTAAACGGAAACTCTTTTAAAAATTGGCTCGTTTATATTTTATGACTGTAATTTTTCGTTTAATTTCATAAACTACAAAACAAATTGCTTATCTAATATTGGTTATTAAAATTAGATTTGCTAATGCAACTTGTCTGCAACTTGAATTAATTTCTTTTTTGTTTTATGTATAATATGTATAAATATAAATCAAGAAACAAAAATACCGTTTTAAAAAAAAATGTTGTAATGAAAGGAGTTCCGTCGTCAAAATGACTTCTGTTGTCAAAATCAATTTAAAAAAAAAAAAAAAAATGAAAAAATTAAACGACATCAACAAAAAATCTGACAACAACATACTAATCTTCCTACTAAACTGTGAAAGTAAAAGCTAGCTAATACACCAGCGCTTAGAAACCATTTAGCTTCTCTTTTTTAACAAGTTGCTAGTTTGTTGCTATTACATACTTTGTTTATACGTTTATACGTTGTACGTTTTTTACTATTATATACTTTTGTGGCTTATGTAGAAATGTGTAAATATGTCTGATGTTTATGCATTCAAGACAATATGTAGTCAGGAGTTGGGAGGGGGGGAATCCTCAAAAAGTACCGACTGGCTTCTTAAAAAAACAGGCCAAAGACCAATGTTTACACCTGTCAGAGTAACAACAAGTCAAAGGCAAAACCAAGGCGCTAAAAATATTGCATAGATTAAATACTGGCAGCATTTTAAACAGTTCGTTATGCTATTTTTTATATTGAATTATCTTTGATGCCATGGAATTGTCACGTAATACGATGAAGCAAACTGCATATAATATTTTTGAAGTTAAATAAGAAGTTTTTGAGTTTTTTAACAGGCCGGTAAATTCGGCACAGTCGAAATTAAAAAAAATTTTTCAGTCGAAATTATCCCCCTAGAGCAGTTTTTAGATAAACTTCTATCACTCGTAACATACTTAGAATTTAATAATAATGTAACTCACATTTTATTCACTTTATATTTTTGAATAAAACAAATAATTATTTTTACTGAAGATCAATGAGAAAAAATAATTTATCCTATATTTTCAAAAAAATACAAATTTTAAGAAACACGAATAATCATAAATAAATGTACCTATAATCTAAAAACAACCTAAAAAATACAAAAAAAGAGAAATTTAAACCTAAATAACTAAAATGTTTATCTTGCTTACCCAAAGTTTAATTCCTAGTTTAAATATTCAAACAAATAAACACTTTTAGGTGACTTTTGAAGGATAGAGGGAGATACCAAATTTATTTCCCAGCCAAAAATACCCGTTCTTACCTTATTTAATGTAGTTCTTAACTTGCCCAGTTTTAAATGAGTTTTGTCCAATAGTTTATGTTTTTAAATGGAGTTTATGTGTAGTAAATTAAATGGAGTGGAATTAAAAGAAATTTTGTCGGCCAAATTTGAGCCATTTTAAAAAAGTAGTTGTTTAGTTAAATATAATTTCAGTTGTGTGACCAGAACGACACCTGAATTAACCAAGTGTTATTAGAAATATCAATTGTGAAATTGACATACGCGAAAAAATCATTTTATTTTACCGGTGCTTCTTGATACTTCCAACGATTTGACAATCAAAAGATTTCAGGGTATATAAAAAACTTATAACTGATTATTTTGTTTAATATTTTAAATAAACTTTTGTTTCTTTTAATACTTTTACACAGGACAAACATTGATGACAGATGAATTTGTTTTATATCCTGTTATTTTTATTGTTTTATATCCTGTTTAAATACTTTGAATAAATAAATAAAAATTGATTTAATCATAAACTAATTTTCTATAATTTAAAAAATTGTTTGGCTGAGTGCTTATTTTATAATTATTCTTTCCAATTAAATGCTTAATTAAATTCCTCTTTTTTTAGTATTTCCGTTGGTTTTTTCTAATAACTGTGCATAAAGGTTTTTAAGTATTTTGTTATATTTTTTATGAGATTTTTATGAACTTTACAAATAAATTTTTTTCTAGTAAGATTTTAGTAAGCCTTTCGACATCAAGGGAATTTGAAGTGACTTGCTATTTATGATTATTTTTTTTCTTGAAACCCTATTTTACATTGTTTGCAAAATTGACTTAGAAACAAGACTTATGAATTATTAGTCTCTCTTGATTCCAATACCAGATTCAAATCAACGCAATTTTTTAAACAGTTTTTAAATTGTTTTAAGGAGTTTTCATTGATCTGTCGCCAAAATTTTATTGGATTTGGTGGACATGTGGATATGTGGATTTTATTATTATTTTATTGCTAGTATTATTAGTTAAAATGTTATAGCTATACAATTTTAACATTTTTAGCCACCTAAGTACAGGCCCGACGAGAGGCGGGGCAGAGGGGGTATTTTCCCCGGGCCCGAGCCCGTAGGGGCCCGGCCCATCACCATCGGTCTCTTAGTCTATCAGGTCACAGTCTCCAGGTAATCAGCCAATCCCCATCAAGCAACATTGTGTCTGCATCACTTTATCAGTTAGATAAATAAATAAATTTACTATGTAATATTGATAGGATAAATCTATTCTTTATTAATAATTTAATTTATTTAATGAAAATACGCTTTTGAGAGTAAAAACGGAGACTAATAGCCTCTAAAACTTAAAAAATAAATATAGGGCACCAGCCCGCAGATTTTTCGTAAGTTCCTTGCTCATGCCATGCTTTATAATATATATAATAGGCCTATATATATATATATATATATATATAATATAAATATATAATATAATATATATAATAGCCTATATATATATATATATATATATATATATATATATATATATATATATATATATATATATATATATATATATATATAAAACCTGCAAACTTTGTCTTTATGAGAAGTTAGAAATTTTATCTTTTAATGGAAACAACCTGCTTAATAAAAAATACGAAATATTATCTAAATGTCGACATTTAAATAAATTCCTGTTATCTTCGTTTGATACTCGAGATTAAATGATTGCGCCTTTTCAAATTACGTCAGAACTCGTTCTACTGTAAAAATTTTTAAACTTTAATTTTTAATTTGTAATTAATAGCTGATGATTGCCGAAAGGCACGAAACTTTAAGTACTATTATAATGTTGTTTTTCTTCATTTAAATAAAAATATATATATATATATATATATATATATATATATATATATATATATATATATATATATATATATATATATAAATATATATATATATATATATATATATATATATATATATATATATAATTTAATATATAAAGTTATATATATATATATATATATATATATATATATATATATATATATATATATATATATATATATATATATATATATACATATATATATATATATATATATATATATATATATATATATATATATATATATGTATATAAATATATATATATATATATATATTATATACATATATCTATTTTATTTATACAGTATATACTGTACTGTACATTAAACTGAACTTCTATTTTAACTTTTAACAATTATTAATAGTCATTTATTTTAATTTGTCAATTTACTTATTAACTTAACTAATAAATTTTTGTTCTATTGTTACAGGACCTCGCATTGGCAGCCTACTACATGCAGCTATGGATCATTACCAGCATAAATCTGGTGCTCAAAAAAGAAAAGAAAAGAATGGTCGAGAAAAATCAGCCAAGAAGGGTCAAAGTACGATTGAGTCTTTTGGATTTATAAATTGTAATCGTATTGATGGTGTTTCTGAGGATCAGATGTGCAAGATGAAGTCACAACTCTCAAATGTTGAAGTAGAGCCAGTGCCAATTGAGGAAGATGAATTGTTAAATAGGAAAGTTATGAGTGCTGATGTGAAAGAGAATGTAATAGACGAAAATGAAAATATTCTTCCAAAGACATCAACTGCAAGGCTAGAAGAGTTACAAGACAAGGCAGATGATGTCCAACTAGTTCCATCAAATAACTATGATATTGGTTTAATTAAGGAATTATTTTGCACTGCTGAACAAATAGAAAAATTTGTTCATCATGGACCCATTGCTCACCCAACAAAATTTCCAAAAGATGCATTGCCTAAATCATTTCCGCGCACATTTTTTCACATTGCCATGCCAAATGGCTAAAAAATTCCACGAGATTGACTAACGTGGAGTGAGACGAAGAATGCACTTTACTGTTTTCCCTGCCGACTTTTCTCTAAAATGCCAGAAACCCATCGATTGGCATTATCTCTGCCAACAGGATATTCCAAGCCCAAGGACAATAAATGGAAGAAACTTTATGAAAAAATTCCTCATCATCAATCCAGCAGTGGGTATAAGATGTGTTATGTAGAATGGAGACGATTAGAAGAAAATCTCAGAGGTAATACAACTATCAATTTTCTATTAAATGATAATATAAAGACAGAAGTGGAGAGATAGAGGCAAATACTTCGTAGAGTATTAGATGTTATCTTATTTTTGGGTGAAAGAGGTCTTGCATTTAGAGGCGATAGTCATCTAATTGGTGACCCCAAAAATGGGAGTTTTTTGGGAATTATGGAACTCATTGGTCATTACGATTCCATTCTACATGATCATCTCGAAAAAGTAAAAGCTTCTCAACAGAGCCATAAGCGAATGCAAGCACATTATTTGTCAAATGATATCCAGAATGAGTTTATTCAGTGCTGTGCAGATAAAGTTACAGATGTGATATTAGATGAGAGGGAGAAATGCAAATATTTTTCAATGATTGTGGATGCAACGCCTGATACAGCTCATATTGAGCAAAATGTTTTTATTTTAAGATACGTCTTACAGGACAAATTGACAGGAAAATATGAGGTAAAAGAGAGATTTCTGGAATTTGTAGATTGCAATAAAAAAACTGGTGAAGATATTGCAAATATAATTACTTCTACTCTTCAGAAACATAAAATACCACTGATGTGCTGTCGCGGACAAGGATACGACAATGGGAGTAATATGAAAGGTTCAGTCAAGGGAGCACAAGCTCGAATTCTTCAACATTATCCACTTGCTACTTACTCTCCCTGTGCTTGTCATAGTCTGAATTTATGCGGTGCACAAGCTGCTGAATGTTGTCCTCAAGTGATAACTTTCTTTGGGATAGTGCAAAAACTGTATAACATATTTAGTAGCAGTTCTCAAAGATGGGAAATTTAA